GGTGCGCTCGTGGGTTCACTACACGGCTTACTAGATTGTATAGTAAGCAGTGGTTCACTAGCATTACAATTATTATTATTATTGTGGAATGTCGTATCCTACATAGAATAAATATTTCTGAACTAACACATTCATGAACACAACACTGGGATGAGCGCTATAGTTCAATAATTCATCAGATCTATTTCGTAGCTGGGACCAAAACCCAAAGCAACGTACCAGTCTTAGTGAGTTATAAATTAAAATGGGATTTACACCCAAAATATCTGATCAATGGGGATGCCCAGCGGGTGTACAAGCCGATCACGAGCCTGTTGTTTCCAGTAAATCAAAATAATACCAAGTGTTTAATCGTATAATTCTCAAGATCTAATCTAGAATCTAGATTATATTTTAAAAAGTAATTTTTCAAGACACTAGACCTAGATCTATATAACATACGAGTTGATAGGCTGACAGCATGGATAATAACGCGCGCGATGATCAGGCCTATGTCGAAACGATACTATAAACAAATGTGTCCTTGCAATATTTAGAGAAATCGACAATTTGTAGACTTGCCTCGTTTTCTACATCGCTTATAAATGAACGTATTTCTATTTTGAATCATTTTACTTTTATGGTAGAAAGCAGCCTTTATTCCCTTTGTGTTGCAAAACGTAAAGCGGCTGCAACATGCGCTCCTCAAACGAACAAAAACAAACACACAGATGTCAGGCTAAAGGTTAGAGGTTAACAGGAAGAGGCCTGGTTAAAATTGTAGACCAATCAACATGGCTTGATATGGTCACATGATTCAGAGAGAAGCGAGTGCTCCAGATCCTCCATTTTCCTGGCAATTGGGTCGCTGCGCTCAGGAATACCGAGGGCTGCCGAGACCGCCTTGCTGTTTGAGTTGTGTTTTTCCGATTTGCCTAATATTTTTCTCTTGGGAACATGCAATGGAGTCAAGCATTGGATCTATTATCAACAAAGTGCATTCTGTGACTTAATTGTATCTCTGTGCTTTTGGAATACACCGGTTGGTTCGTATATTCCAGTGGTTATTTGTTGTAGAGACAGAAGAGTAGCATCTCATTAGAGATCCGCTGAAATCAGGGGAAGCAATGTGTTGCTCCCCTACCAAAGCATTGGTGTCAGTCGAAGCTATGATCCTAGTTATAACCCAACGTCTTCTGTCTTGATTGCACAAGTAACGTCAGTAAAGTTAAATCATATATTGATCTACCATGCTTAGCCCATTATTTATTTGTTTTCTCAACACCATTCAATTGTTGCCGGGTAGATCTACAGCTTTGTTGCTTTGTGTTGTTCTATCTGGCCAGTGGACTCAACGCGCGCACGACCGACTCACCCGTGCTACTGGGGGAGCTGTGTGAGCGACATCGACGATGCACTCACCTCGGTCAAACACAAAGTAGGCTAATTAGAAGAGGGTTTTGCTAAAGGAACGCTGATAATTTCTGTAGTGAATTTGCGCTAAAGATCTAGATCTATATAGATGTTTAGTGACAGCCAGACATCCCCTCCCATTTTCTTATAAAAATATGGGCTAGATCTAGATATATCTAGATCTAGATCTAGATTCTAGATCTCTAAGTATTTGAAGTAAGATACGACTCTTACTGGGTAACCCATTCACTTCTATTTTTCTAACAGTTAACAGTAACAGTCGTCTTTGGTGTAACATTCAGTGTTTTTCTCTAGAATCTAGATCTAGAATCTAGATACACACTGGTCAATCTTACCAAAGAACCGCCTCGAACTCGAATAAATGTTTGAATATGATGCTGCACATTGATTTTGATCATGTTCGAATCGCGAACAAATAAATTGGATTTGATATTAAATTTTTCTAAAATATGAGAGTTATAATAATAGTTAGATCTCTAGATCTAGATCTAGATCTAGATTAGATATCGATATCTCGATCTAGGCGTAGTCAATAGAAAAACAGGCCTATTCATCTTGTCTATATATATATTCTCAGCATTGTTAGCTCAAGTGTCAAGTGACCATTCAAATTCTGCATTTGCTCGCTTCCTTATCAAGTGTATGAGTGAAGGTTGTGTCATCGTGTGGAAATAGAAAAAGAATTTTGCACATTGATTGTAAATTTGTGAATATGCATAGAATTCGTAATTTATTTTGTACAGATACTAGAATCTAGGGTGATTGTCAAGATTTCCGCGTTTAATTCTGATGTGCGTTTTTCATAGCCTCAGGTATGTTTCGCTTTGGTCCCTAACCCTAACCCTGACCTTAACCCTAACCCTAACCCTAACCCTGACCAGGGTTAGGGTTAGGGACCAAAGCGAAACATACCTGAGGCTATGAAAAACGCACATCGGAATTAAACGCGGAAATCTTGACAATTGCCGAATCTAGATCTGAAATCTAGATTTATTTACTATTTTAACTATTTTAAAGGCTGGATGTAATAGTCAGTCTGGGTAAATGATTGTCAGCAGTAGGCCCTGTCATTTTGTAACTCAAGATACGTTGTGTTACTTTCAGTAACACACTGGCTTTAGGCTATTGGTCTTTGGCTTTGAGCTTATGATTTTGATTGCCATTGAGTATGATCTAGGCCTAGATTTTATAGTGGTTACTTGTTACGGAAGTCCTTCCTCAACCTTTGTAGCATCTTTTGATGTGTTCAATCTAACAAAGCATAGAAATCAAATTTCAGACCAAGTGTAGTACTAAGCTTATACCTGGTTTAGTTTCTTTGAAGTTAATGATTGATCAACATCTTTGGCTGCATTGATTCTTGATGGATTATTATACTTTCCAGTTGAGGTGAACTGTGTTTTTTTAATAGTGCTGATAAGTACTTTCAAACGTTTGATTTTTCGGTTGTTCTTTGAGAAGTTCTAGTGAGTGACAGATTTAACAATGGAGGCTCACGCTCACCCAGAAAAGGATTGTGGAGTTTTGGGCAGTTTGTTCCAGACTGTTGTCAATGACATGAGGGTAAGTAGAGAGAAATTCAAGTCGGTAGTTTCTGGTCTGGTCTGTCCTCTGGTTCCCCTTTTATTTTTAAATATTTTTTTGCTTTCTCTCCTTCTGTCTTAAGTTTGAGTTAGTAAGATATTACTTTCACACCCTCGTTATGATGCGCTGCTTTTGGGGGCTGGAAGATAAATCCCTGAACATCAGGACATAAATAAGTTATGGATATGGAAGCAAAATGATACCAAGCTGTCTACTGTCTCGCCTCCCTTTTACCTCTAGCTGCTCTTTCCTTTGACACCTTACTCACTCTCATAATTGCCACCCCTAATTTTAAAAATAAAGTTCTAGTGCCTTGCCAACATTCCATGACTTATTCAGTGCTATCTTTGTTGAGGGTTTTATGTGGAATCGTCCTTCGGCAAATTTTTTTTGGATTCCATCTCCGTAACTACTTTTCAGCTGCCTTGTCCAAAGACCTTTGTTGTTAATGTGTAAAGCAAAACAATTAAATTACTCTTGAACTGCTATGTAAATGACATGTCCTCTGGCATGCAATTTTGGCTCTTTCATTCAAACAACAAAAGGAAAAATTTAAGCCTATTAAGCATTGTTGACTTCACATTGTAAGAGCTCAATTTTCTATTTTCCTGTGAACTTTCGTGACTGTGCCATTGTCGAGTAATTAGTATAAGAAATAAGTTTGTTAATGGCATACACTGTGTATCTCCCCCCCCCCCCCCCCCGAAAGTTCTAGGGTAAATTATGTTCCGCTTGAAATTCAGAGATTACTGAAGTTACCCTGTCTCAACTCTTGTTAACATTTTTTTACCTCTTTACTCTGTCATGAAGCAGGATAGGAGTTAATGTCAAAACAAGACCTCTTGAAGATTAAGGTGGGAACTGGAAACGAGAAGTGAGGAGATTTAAAAAATGCCAATGGCTGGAGTGGAACCCAGATAATTTGAACTCTTCAGGGTTACATCTTTGAGTTTTTGTTTACCATAGCCTTAGGAATACTTGTTTTTACTATGGCTATTTTTAATTGCAACTTAAAACAATTTTTCTAAAAGTTGTTGAGGAGGTTCTCGTTTTTGAGACATTACGTTCGCCTCTCATTCGATTTTTCAATAGGTCCCTGGTCGAATCCTGATAGCGACGGAACATTTTCTTCTCTAAAATTGTCTCCTTTCACTTCATTTCCTGCTCATTAGCAATGTTCTGTCATCTGCTTTCTTCTCCACTTGCTGCCCCCTCCCCTCACTTCCTTTGCTCCCCCCCCCTCATCTGGGCTCCTGACTCTTTCTGCAGCCTCTCTACTGCTACTCCTTGGCTCAATCTTACTGCTGTCTTTCAGCCGCACCCCTGGTCTTATGGTAGGTGAGATCGAACACCTAGCCTTCTCGGATAAAGGCGGAAAATCTCAGAGGTTCCGTGAAAAAAAGACGTTGGTTGAATGTAGTAGTGGACATTGAAGTAGACTATAAAACAGCTGGTGGTGGGATTGCTTTGTTTGATCTTATTTAACCTCACTGAGTTTCTACCTTATAGCCTAGCTGCAGGATACTTATGTGGGTGTTGTCAGAGTTCTGGAACACGTTTTTAAAAAATCCAGTAAATGCTTACACTATCCGTACGCCCTGGGGTCATTTTGTACCCCGGGGTTGTATTTTTACTTTGGAATACATGTACTTCTAATACGAAGCGTCTCTTTGAAACTTTCAGTATTTCTCAAAAAATCATTTTGACAGACTGCTATATATGCAAAACGTACGGATCGCATTACGGAGTAAATTTCCTCTTTGGAAAGTGGTGACATGGAGTTCCCCCCGTTGCATGAATATGATAATCAAACATGACTTACGGATAGGGCCAATAAGATCTTTTTTGGCGGTATGAAATTCAGTTGTGTAAGTCCCGGTCTTGTGAGTAGGATACTTGACACTTGCCTACTCTGCCTATTTTCATGTTATCAGTGGTTACTACACCCTAAATAAGTCATGTTGTATTCATTTAATTTTTTGTCAGTTCAGTTGGTCGTGGTTCATTCTTATACCTGTATTATTTTCATATAAATTATAGATGCTGACAATTTGAAGGAAATGGGAGCTCGTTTTTTTTATCATCTACTGTTCTTCTTGTTAAAAGCTTCAGGTGGTGAAAGTATTGGGTATAGATCTAGTATCATGTGGATGTGTGGACCATATTGCATTTTTCAAAAGCACATTATTGATATCTGTATATGTTATTTATTATTATGGATACATATATGACATTTTATTTTATTGATTGCATTCAAAATAAAATTACTTTTTTTGGTAGGAGTGCACATGGTTCTCTGGTGAGAAATTTATTAGTTTTAACTATGACTTTTTGTTCTCTTTCAGGGCAGTACACCACTATGGGAGGATTTTACATACAAATCTATGAAACTTCATTCATCTTTGAAGTAAGTTTCAGTATTTAATATGTTTACACATTTTATAAGTAGCATAATTTTGTTTTTCACTTTCCAGTTGTACTTTGTTGTTGTTTTTTAGTTGTGTGTCTTTCTGTTTGAAAGTGGATGGTTGGCGGTTGCTCTGGTGTGGTCCGCTCCTTTTTTCCTATCAAACATCTGTCATCTTCATCTTTATCTCCCGTCCTTATATTTTGTGTTCGTTACTCTCTTGTAACACTTAATCTTCGGCACTTATGTGACCTTATTGTATTGCAAGTGCTGTAAAAAACTAAAACTAAAACTTCTGTTTGAAAAGCAATTTGTTATTGTTGTCTTTTGTGTCAATGTAGTAGGTCAGCTGACCTGGCAAACGCAAGTAAGTTTTGGTTTCAACTTTGGTTGGGGGTTGATCTATTTACTATCTTTCCTGGTGTGTTTTTACTCTTTAACTGTCATCAAAATGCTTTATTTTTTAAAGTACCTTGATTGTGTCCTATAAGATTGGACTTTTATCCGCCCATCCAGTTTGCAGGAGGAGCCTTATGTCACAATTACAAGTCCCACTCAATGGAAGTTTTTGTAGGTTAAACACTTAAACTGAGGTCGTGTTTGCTGGTCTTCTGATCTCTTGAGAAGTGGTTGAAGTGGACCCTCTGGTAGCTTCTACTCCTGCGACAAAAGTGGAGTTGCTCATAAACAGGATTACGTAGTCAACATTTTCACTGTATGGACTCACTTGCACTTTAGTGTAGCGTAAAACATGTTGGTGGGGGGGGGGGGGTGTGGCTTAAAAGTTCAGGATAGAATAATTAAAAATCCCTCCGCAGTAGACATCATCAGGTAGTGACACATTTCTAGCTTTGTTTAAAAGCCTCAGTGATAGCACAGGAAGAATTATAAAGCACATAAGAATGTACTTTTAGAAGTACATGTCGACCCCACCCCTTTCTTTAAATAAGTTAAAAGCATCTTTCACGCCTGACGTCATGACGACTCAACTGTTACCCCGAAGAGAGTGGAGAGTGGAGACCCTGACCGTGAGAAGTAGGTCTTGTCTTGTACGCTCCTGATTGGGGGCTCAATTTGACTTTTACCAAGAAAACTGTAGGAACAGGAACTAGAATATATTATGGTTTTTCATAGCTTCAGGCTGCTCCCATAATAAGAATCATTATCAGCTCTTAGAATGCGGGGAATGGGCGCGGAAGTATTTACGTTTTATCTTGCCGTCATTAGATAACTTTTTAAAGAGCACTCGGCCCGCAGGCCGTCGCCCCCAGGAAAATGCAAGAATCCTCTTGTTTTTCTCTCCTGTGGCCTCGGGCCAGTAATTAGGTCACGTGGCCGTCATCGCCCGAGTCCTGGCCATGGTCTGTCGTGCCGCTGACACGGTTATCGCGAG